ATTTTAGCAGCCTATGCAGTTTATAGGCCTGATGTAGGTTACGTACAAGGTATGAGTTTTGTGGGTGCAGTGTTATCATTGAACATGGAACCTCCAGATGCCTTTACCTGCTTTGCTAATTTATTAAATCATCCCTGTCACAGATCTGCTTTTACATTAAACCAGAAACAGATGGATATTTATTACAAGGTATATTCTAGCGCACTTGCACATAAGCTACCAAAAATTTTTTCCCATTTTACAGTAGCTGGTCTTAGCCCAGATTTATATTTGTTAGATTGGTTATATACTATATATGCTAAGGCAATGCCTCTGGATGTTGCATGTAGGGTCTGGGATGTTTTTCTTAGAGATGGGGATGAGTTCCTTTTTAGAACAGCACTTGGTGTGTTGCACTTGTATCAAGAAGAACTATTAAAGATGGACTTTGTACATGGAGCACAGTTTCTTACTAGGTTGCCAGAAACTTTACAGGCAGAGGCTTTATTTAACAGTATTAGTCAAATGTCTACTACTGTTGGAACAACAACGTTCCAACAAATGTTAGTTCAATTTTCTTCATTGTAATTTTGTGAATTATGATGAAGGATATAGAAAGGTAGCCATATTTAAAAAACAAAAAGAACGAATCTCAAATACTATTTTTGTTATTGTGATTAGTAAAAGATATTTTCTATGCTAAAAATTTAAATATTATTTATATAAATTTAAAAAAGTACATATATAAAAGTTTGCATAAATTTCACATAATTTTAAAACATAATTATTCTGTTTTTCTAAATGAGCATTAGAAATTTCCCAAAAAGTTTTATTTAGAATAAATATTATTGTGATTCAATTTGTTTCCATAATTAATATACAAAGAAGATGATCTTGTATTAAATTTTACTATATGAATTACAATACTGAAAGATATGATGTACTATTTCATACATTTAAAACATAAAGAAAGCAAGAGCTTCCCAGAAAATTGTAAACATATTTTAATAAGTTAATTGTGTAATAAACAAGGTATGTAAATGTATTCTGCTATTAAATAAAAAAAGGCGAAATGTGCTATATTGAAGGATAAAATTGGACATAAATTTGATAAATATATATATATATTTTATATTTCCAAATAAAAAATTAAGATATATATCATTTCTAAGATACTTTTATGGAACTTTAAAAGAACAAAATTATTAATGTCTGAGCTTAACTCACTTTTTATATTTGCAATATTTCATTGAAAAACAAAATTCATATATTTCTTATTTTTGTTGTATAATTACAATGCGAAAATATTTTCACAATTTCATTATTACATATTTTACAAATAGTGATACATACATGAAAGTATGCTATGATATATTATATTGCACTATAATTTCATTACTTTAAAGTATCTATCATAGATACTAGATCTCAACTGCAATGTACATCTTAAAAAATACTCTGATATATATTTAAGTATACTTATTGCAATCAGGCAGAATATTACATACTCTCGTATTATTATAAATAAGCAGAATATTAATTGAAAATGTCTGAATACTTATATTAATAGTAAATGCATTAATAAATATAACATAAATAATAAAATTATGTGCCACATAATACATATATATGTATATCTAAAAAAAAATACAGTTAATTTCAATCGATCTTGGATTTAAAAGCTGACTGGTGCAAATACAACTGTTGAAAGGCAAATAAATAATTAAGCTATTTTTTTTCGGATACATGATTTAATGTACAACATTATATCAATACATCTTCTAAGCTTTATGATACTCAATATATGTAAGACAATTGTCCATCAAATGTGAATTAAGAGATAAAATTTCATTATACTTTCATAATATGTAATAGCAAATAAATTTTGGCAAAATCTGTATGATGGATTAAGCAATCTTTAAAAGTAAATAATATCAAGAATAAAATTATATCAAGATTTTTGTCTATTTAAAAAGTAATATTTCAAGAATTAATTATAAAACTCAATAATATCTATTTACAATAATTTTATTCATAAAATCCTTTTTTGTTTTGTTTATTGTTGTAATAGATTACATTTTATTTATTCATATATGTAGAAATTAATGATGCAAAGTGTAAGCAATGTCTTTAGTTTTATTATGTGCACAAGAAGACAGTAAATAGAAAGTTGCAATATTAGTATCAATTTAAATAATTCGAACATTCATTTATTATTAATTAATATATATTTTATTTGCTATAGTCTTATATAATACAAGATCTTGTCCTTTAAGTGGCCTTTATAATAAGAGGAATATATTCAAATTAAGAATTTATAATTTTTCTAATTATTAAGCTTCATTATATATAAAAGTTTCAAAAACATATTTTTTTACAACTTAGCTATTGTAAGCTTATTGTATGTGCTTGTTGTATAATGTTTCGTTTTCGTCTTCGTGTTATACTTTCCGTTTGAATCGTTTAAAGTAATAATATACTGAAAATAGAACGCAGAATATGATATAGCTAATGTCAGTGTTAACTGAATTATTCCATTTTATTATATAAACATTTCCAAATACAAGCACATTGCAATAACTTTGCTTATAGCATGGCTTAATGCTTTAGATAGAATTTGAACGTTATACAAACTAGTTATCTGAAAATATATAATAACATCTAAATAAATATCTTGCGAAATATATGGCAACTAGTGATAACATAAAATATTATAAAATTATATTGTCTGAATAGATTTGGGCTTCTTTTTTTTGTCTTTTTTGCAAAAGAAAATCCCAATGAACAACTCGGAATATGAAGAATAGTGGAAAATTAAATGTAAACTCGGAATCTCTTAAAAACCCGTGATATTCTAATTTTTAATTGACAATACTCTTATTCCATCCACTATTCAGATTGATTGATTACTCAACGGTTTAGCGTTCGCTAATATACATTTACATTACTAAATACAATTGTAAATATAAGCATAAGATGCAGAATAAAATAGTATGAAACTATACGAAAATGAGCATAATTATATTACGATAATTTGCTTTTTGTATGTGTATGTAGAGGAACGCGCTCGCACATTTACGTGTAATCGATAAATTCTATTAACGAAGTATATCGATTAAAAAATAATGTTATTAACATACGTACGACATTATGCTAAATGATTATTAGTTTTAATTTCCCAAGAATTATAGTTTAAGGGTCGTTTTACTCAAATTTCTGTTTGTCAAATACTTTGAATTGTTAAATCAGTAATAAATTTATGATATATCGAATATACGCATATATAAAATATGTTCGTACTAATGTATTCTTCGTAATCTTTCACGATCTTCTCTCTCTTTCATAAATTAACATACGTATATAATATAACAAACAAGTGCGTGTTTCTATTTCTAAACATATAATGACAACGTGCCAACCGTTTAATGGTTGTACTACTAGAGAACAAATAAATTATCCTCCGTATACATGTCTTACTATCATGTCTTCTATTCTTTTTTCAATTATCACAATAGTTTTAGGTGGTTATCGAAATACATACATTATATTTTCTTTAGGGAATTATATTACCTTACGCCTTCTTAATTACACGTCCTATAACCAGATTATAATTACAGAACCAATTAGTTAAATTAGCTTAAATATAGAAAACGGATGTGTGTGTATCGTATGTAAATGTGTTGTAAGCTTGTATGAAATATGTTGAGATACATGTAGGCGTATCTACAAATGTTGTGTAAATATTAAACTTTTATGAAAAATCATATCTTGAATATTTCACATATTATATTTATCTTATTAATGTCAAAGGTAAAAAAAACACTAACTTGTTAAGTATCATTTTAAGTATATGTAACTTTCCTGTAATTTATCAGTATTAAAAAGAAAATGTTTCAACGAAACAAATGATCATTTTGTGGAATATTTACAGAAGAAATCTCATATATCTGATATTATAATTAAATTTGATGAGTAGACAGATGTTGATATATTGGGAATGAACATATGTGACTATATCTATATTGAAGAGTATCGTTGTCGTTATACCTACACGTATCTTATGCCCTTAATTTCGTTGTTTAACAGAGATTAAGATTAAAATACCTAACAAATGATAAATAATAAAAAAACCAGAATTTTCTGAATGCGAAATTGGATATGAATGAACGAACAGTTACGTATGATCTATATGCGACACTTCTGTGTTCCTTGTCGTTAGTGCCTCTTGATAGAGGAACTCATTGTATATTTTTTACGCGTTTTATCGTGTACATTTACCTTAAGTGCGATATCCTAATATATATTTTGTAAAAAATCGAACTCAGTATTTATTTTGTGAAATGTGCACATCAATAATGATGTAAAACTTGTAGCTAGGGTGTCAGTGTGTTAAGCGACTGTCACGAAATTTTTACACAGACAACTGAATCCCTTCTGCAGGGGCTTAAAAGCTGTCGAAGGTGAACAAATTTCAAGTACATATTTAAAAAAATTTCGTAAATAATTTTACTTGAAATTTTCATACTCATGTCTCTTTGAATATATTTAGTACTAATAATATGAAAAATATTTTGTATATAAGGGCGTGCTTGCTTCGAAATTTAAAGGTGAGAGATAAGAAAAACTCGATTCTATTTATTGCAATGGTGTAACAACAGTTTTTATATCGTGTAATGGACGACAGTGAAATTATATAGATGTACGTGTATGTTATACTCTAAATGATGCCAGCGACATATCTCAATGGATCATTTTTGTTCGCATACGAATAAATTACACTTTAAAATATTACCTGTATATATATTTTTCCAGATTTCAACCTACATAAACGAGAAATATTTTAATTAATATGTTTTTGAAGTATTTCTTCTTCAATTCCTCAAATTTATATTATAAATTTAGTAATTTTGGAAATATACTACGATACAAACGTAGAAAGGGGAAGAAGATTATAATATCGTAAGTTATAGATTTTGCTAATTTTACTCTTTACTACTTATTAAATACATTGTATTAATAGTTTATGTCGCCAAAATTTGAAAGAAATATACGGGATGTAAAGATTCAGCATTTCTGCAATAGATGGCAGCACCTTCAGCTATGATCAAGGAATCGGTCGCAGTTGTACGCGTGTATTCGCTTGTGTAAGACTTCATTTTATGTAATTATCTTAATTTTCATGTTAATAAGGAATAGTTTATCAGAAAGTAACATCTACTTTTTTCTTTACATGTAAGTAAACCAGAACTAACGTCTAGACTATTTATTATTTACAGCATCGTTTAAAAATTTACATGCTATAGCGTGTAATTTCGAAGTCATTTTACCGTTATTTACGAATATAAATTGTAACATATATTTGTAACAAGCTATAATCGATAGTATCTTCATTAAGAAAGCATAGTCGACATTGTTTTTCAGAAATAATTCATTTTTGACAGACAAATTTGCAGAAAAAGGTGCAATAAGCTTTGTACACAATATTGCCCGTAATCTAAACAAAAGACAAAAGTTTTCAACCTTCACGTCGCTTCGATGGAGAATGTTGCACGTAAGTCAAACACAAACACATACTTCTACGTACATATTTACTCCAATTTATCGTAGCAGTATAGATATTCGATATAACATTGTTCGTCGACGCGGCGGCATGTCGTAAGATACGTATTCCCAATTATCTCTCATCGGGAGAGCAATTCATCAATTATTCTCCCCGTGACGAATATGCATAAAGTATCTTGTCAGCGATGATTACAAACACGCGGTATGTATATATTACTCGAGCTTGAACCGCACGATGATTTAGCATATCCCTATACGAGTTTTGCCCCTGCAAAACAATGTTAGCTTCAAGTCATGGGGATTTCAGACTCTACAGTTAGGAACGAAGTCAATAAATTAGGGGAGATAATCCCATCCAGAATGAAGTATGATTTAACATAAAGTAGGCTAGAAGCCTACATCACTAGTGACGTGAGCATTTAGGTAGTGAACGTTAAACGGATTGGACCTGTGCAAACTCTTTCCCTAACCTCTCTTATTTTATTTTGAAGCATAAAAAATGGCGAATGTTTTCGAAATTAACATGTTTGAGTTTCAAATTAGCTTTGAACTAGCAAATGATAGCTTGTATCGTTAAGCATTTGAGTATGGACGTGTGGATCTATTTAATGATTTTTGTATTAATTGATAATTATGGAATTTGGAGATTTTTTCCAATTTTTGTCTGTTTGATCGTAATCTTTTTTTTCTTAGAGCTTTATTTTAGCATTAATACAAAAAGTTAATCGAGAGAGTACGAGCAATTAATATATTTTTTATTATTTTATTAAGAAGGCGTTAAATTTTTAAATTTTTTATCATTTCGCAAAAATAGATAAAATAAGAGTCAAATAATCAAGATTGGAAGAAGTTATTAGACATACTGCATAATTATCAATGAATTACACTACTTACTACTTAATCGCACTAGTCATTTACGTTTATTGAACAAATTTCTACTGTAGTAATAATAACTATAGTAATTTGTTGTTGTATAACTGTAGTAATAGTAACTACTTACTACTTAATCGCACCAGTCATTTACATTTATTGAACAAATTTCTACTGTAGTAATAATTTGATTATAAATTTCAACATTGAATATACCAGACGATAGATGCGATATTTCTTTCGCGGTGGTTCGATTCAAAGTAGAGCGCTTATTCTTACGTTTTTATTGAGCCATGAAAACACATTCTTACTTTTGTCGATGCTCCATGCTTAGAGTCTCAGCGTTTCCACATCTTTTTTTCTCCCGGCCGATACCGAAGAGAGACGAGTATAAACTGTTTTCCTACGCACGACTATAAAGCGGTGCCACGCTTTAAGCAAATATCCGGCTGCTTACTTGGATATTCGTGGCTGGTTCGGTACAGAGGAGGAATAGCCAGGCCAAAAATGTGTTTGTTGCTGCTAAGAACGAAGACGAATAGGCACGAGTTGAACCATAGAGGCATAAACCAATCAGTCTAATAGAATCTCCCCTGTTGCCTATCGAATGATTCATAGGACGTCGCATGGGAAGCGAATTTATTAATAAGAGGCAGTCAGCCATGCCACCAGACCGGCTCCGAACTGATTCGTCATTATTACATGGGCTCTGACCCAGCGATCTTAACATCCACCGCTAATTGGTCGCCGTGAACGCGTTTCAGCTGCTGATTTATTGTACCAATAAATAGTCACGTTTTTCTTTCGTTCCTCATCTCTGTTCTTCTTCCATACGCGTGTGAAATGAACTGTTAACAACTGTTGGATGAAGATTTAACGAAACATAAGGAAGAACTCTAGAATGCTGTTTCGCGAAAGAAGTGTATTTTAGTATAACGATGGTTGGTTAGCTGTATACATGCGATTACGTTGTTTTGCAAACAAGGGACAAACGATTTGTCATGCATTATACGTCCTCGCGGCGTTTTATACGGTTAGACGGATAGATTAAAACACTCGATGTTATTTTGCTCTCCGACTGTTATAGATGATCGTCAATTTTCGAGTTGATACCAAATATGTATACAATTATCTGCGCTATGAATTATCTCGTCGAATATCCGAATAGAACGTGCGTTAATTATGTACTTGTTGTTCCGAGAAGAAGATTGAGTAAATTGAAATCATTTAGCGATTTGTTGAATTAAATAGGTTAAATAATATGTATGGAAATGTATCTATATTTTTCGAATTTTATTTTATTTAGTTATAACGTTACCAGTGTATTTTATTATTGTATTATTCTATTGATATACAGATATTTTCAGTGTCTGTTGGAATTATTGGTTTCTAGTTTTCAAATCAAAGCAAGAAACTGTGATCGATTATAATTCTGTTTCTTATGACTAAACCGCAGATGTTTATGTATTTTTGGGAACTTTAAGATTTCAAAAATCTACAGAATGCATATAATGCGCAAAAATATATAAAATATTTAAAGTAAAGTTCTTATATCTATTATTATTGATATTGATATTGTTATTCAATTTTATACAATATAAGATGAGATATTCTTGGAATACTCGTTACGACTGAATGTTTTTTCAATTCAATCAATATTCTGGGTGTCGGCAAAGATAGTCTTTTTAATTTCTGCCACAATATACGTTGGCTTAGATGTTCCATATTATATTAAATACAGTGTAACGATATATTTACACAGTTATATCATATGTGGTTAAAGTATAGAGTCATACCAAATACCATAGAGTAGGATATCACCTACGTATACAATAACAAATACAATTTAATCTAAGTGAGAGCTGTATGTACGATGGAGAACATGCCACGTGCTATCTCAAACACGTCGTTCTCGAGGCATCTCGAAACGCAATCTCGCAGTTCCTTCGAAACTGCTTGTTGTATTTTTCGGCGAATACCGTCCTCTTTTTTGTTACGAAAGCAAATGCACGGAAGTTTTCAAAGTAAGTATTAATGCCAGGAATATGAGATGCACTTATTTATCCGACTGTTACATCAGGATTTACGTAACCGCGTCGGACACTGAAACGCATTATTACGGTTAAAGCAGGTCTATGAGTATTTGAGGGAATCATGAAGGGAACAGAGAAAGAGGAACAGAACGCATGGTGAAAACATAGCCAAAGAGAGAAGAAGAGAGAGGGCAAAGAGACGTTACAAGCGCAGTGGATGTGCAACTTCTTGCGCAAGAGGTGCTCTGCAGTGATTCATCATTGTTACCAGGAATATTGGGATATATATCGGGAAGGTCCCTCGGGCTGAAAGCAAATGGAGTAGACAGGGGTCTATACCCTCCATCTACTTAAATGCCCCTACATTCCACCGATATAGGGTACTTACGCGATCCCCGTTCCCTGCAGTTTTCTGATTAAACTACGTCGATTTCCATAAACGGAGCGCACTTTACGCGAGACTTCACACGATTGACTTTATGCTCCTCATCGTCTATATTAATCCTTTCTCTAGCTTCGGTTATCGAACAACACGAAGAACCAACCTGGATGCATCAGGAAATCGTAGTTGGCATACATAATGGAATTTTCGTCGAATTTGAACGAATCATCCATTTTAATCTCTAAATGGATGCATTTTGGACGATATACAGATACCATGAAATAGATCGTGGAACGAAACATGTTAGGTATGGAATAGAAGACGATATTTCGAAGTAGTTTTACTTCTTTTTCGTTTCATTACGCTTGCTACATTCTTCCGGTCGTCTTCGATCCAACAGTATTTTTCTAACGTTAGAAACTATCTCAAGATTGAATAAAACATGAACAAGTTCTTACCGGTATACCAGATTTTTCTCGTTTTAATTCTAAGTGAAACATCTACTTCGTATTACAAATTCTTTTTGTTTGTTATGACGAAAGCGATATAAATAAAATGAGATTCAGTTACACATAGAAGTGAGATTTTATCGTAACATTGAATATATGAATAGCTTTTTCGTTTTAAGATTCCACGATATTTATCTGTCTTTATAAAATTTCCAAATTAGACAATAATCCTCAAGGGTTTTAACGATTATCAAATAATTGTCTGAAGTTTATCTCATTCCCTGTAAATGTTCTGATACTTGGCAGCAAGATCGAAATACTTATAAAATTTCGATGACTGCGGGATCGCATTGCAAACATATTACAAACGCCAAATAGTTTTTCCATCGACTTTATTAGTACATAATCTGACGTATATCGTGCCTCGTATCATGCACGTGTTTTCTTTTTTACGATGCAAGAACTTCTTCCGGATTTTTAACGAATCTGCCTCTGGTCGACTCGAACGTAGCTGTAATCTTTCGCGGTCCCAGCCTCCAATCTGTCATCGTGGTATCTACCTTCACCGCGTGCGGAATTTCATCAAACGAGAACTGTATAAAAATAACAGGCGCGGAGAACGTGCGCCATATGCGAAACGACATGTGGCAGAGGGGCAGAGGGTCAACAATGTCACTGAGACGTCGTCTTCCCTAGAAGAATGTTGAAAAAGGGTGCTCCATGTTCGTGCAGCACCTGCCTGCCTCGAGGTGAGACTTCGACTCCGAGCTCTTCGAATCTTTCTTCGGAAAAGGGATTATCCTTCCTCTGTTCTCTCTTTTTCATCGTGATGGTGGTTAGCTAAAGTGTAACGCGACGATCAAACGTTCTCCTGGTTGTCGTTTATGCCCCGTCAAAGAGAATTCTTCTTCAGATTGATGGTGTGCGTGCACGAGA